CTGGATGCCTGTATAAAATAATGTTTGCTTATATGCAGCCTGCTGTCTTCTATTGGAACTTATTTTTTATTTAAATTTGCTGAACAATCAATATCTTGAGTGATTTTTAATCAATTAAATGTTGGAGAACTGGTATGCATTGTATGAGATCAGTATACAGATTTTGAACCTGGATTGGAAAAAGAAATTGGAGATGCTTGAAGGGATGTATGCAGAATAATGTATTGTTGGGATTAGTACCTTTTCTTTAAAAAAATAAATGTTCTGTATAATCTGAAGTATCACTTCTTCTATTGTCTTGTAAAAGCTGTTTGTTCAAAATATCTGATAAGATTTTCTTTGGTGCCAATTCAAAGAAGGAAACGTGAGAATATTGTCCCAGAGTTTAATTTTTAAAATGCGCTATAAAACCGCTGAACTGTTTCAAACTTTTCTATTCCAAAATCATTTTGAGATTGTGCAAAAGCAAAAGAGAAAGGCAATGAAAATGAAAAATGTAAAAAAAATATTTTCATATCAGGAGGCCAATATGTATTCTCCTTTAACTGCTATTCTCAACTAATTTCCAAAGTGCCTTTTCAGGATGCAGAAATTTAAAACATTAAAGAGCTGGTCATGCATTTTTAATCAAGAGTGCCTTGTCAGTCATGTGCACGTTTAGACAGAAGTATCTGTACACTTGATCTTAGTCACAGTAATTACAGATAGTCCTTGACTAATGGCCATTCATTTGGTGACTGTTCAAAGTTATGGCAGCACTGGACAAGGAGACTTACTACCTCACAGTTGTGGCTGTGGCAATATCCATGAGGTCACATTTGTGATTTAGGCACTTGTCACCCAGCTTGGAATTACTATGGTTGCAGAGTCCCACGGTCATGTGGTTGCCGTTTGCGACCTTCACAAGCGGAGTCAACAGAGAAACCGGGAGGAGGTGGCAAATGGTGATCACATGACATTGTGCTTAACTACTTATTGATGGCAACTGGAACTGCTCTTGTAAAATGTGTCATTTACACTTTATGTCTGCATCACTTAGTGACAGTTACCAATCCCAAGTATCATAGTTAAAACAACGATTACCCATGTAACAACATTCATGTGGCGGCAGTATCAAATTAAATTTTACTCTATAAACCATGGTACATTTGTGTATGTGTGTGTGGGGTATGCATGCATGCATGCATGCATGCATGCATACATACATACATACATACATACATACGAATAGCCCTGTATCTTTAATGACACTAAAAAGTACTCTTGAAATTTTTGACTCTAGTCCAATCTTAGTAATTAATTTCTACAACACAAAAATGTTATAGTACCAATGAGAAAATAAATTACATATTACTCCAGCATAGATATTTCTTCTGCTCCGAATGGAATTTTATACTAGAACTTAATTTATTAGAGTTAACTAATAGCCCAGCCGCCAACCCTGTTTTGGATTGCTGATCAGCAAGGCTTTCTCAAGCACCTGGTTGTAAAAAGTATCAGGCCACAATTTGGCTTATATCCTATCATTTTACACTTGAAACTAGGAAAGTTAATCTGCCAGAATAGGCAAGATGGTTTTGGACCCATACTGGGGTCCACACTTATTACCATACTTTATAATCAGATTGCAGATCAGTCTACATAATTCTTTAGCAAATTTCAGTATTCAACTATTTTAAATGTGAACAGTTCAGTCTCCTTTTCATGGTTCTATCGTGAGAGAAACATGTTCTGAACAAGGGGTATTATGACAGCAATACTGCAAAAGCAATTTGGGCTTGATTAAGCCCTCATGAACAATGTTGGTGCTCAATGAATTAACAAGATTGTAAAACATGCAGGTACACAGTTAATTCACAAACGCCTCCTTGGAATACTTATAGCAGTGGTTAAAGAAGTGGCTATTCACAAAAATCCTGAGTTAGACAGTACAGTACATTCCTCATCACTGAAGATTCAAATTTTAATTTTAGAAGATATTGCTAGAAATAAGTTACTATTCAGAGTCTGCTTATTTCATCCTGGCAACTTAAGACTACAATGTATTATTTCTGTCTATCAAAAGATACATTAAATATCAGTGTTAATAAGGCTAATCTAAAAATTGAGGATCTGGATGTTAGGCATTAGTTCTCCCATCATTTTTCTTTCTACAGCCATCACTGCAGTGCAGTACATTGCGTTCTCAGAACATTTTTACATATTTGACTAATGCAAAAGGCTCATTTTTGGAAAAAAAAAATCTATCAATACACTTAACTTATAGATGCAATTAAAAAAGTCCCAAAGGCATTCAGTAACATATGGTCACAATTTAGGCACATGGTATCTGTTGTTAGATGAGCACAATGGCCAGTTGTACTTGAAATGGACTTATAGGCAACTGGTAGTACTTGGAAAGGGCCAGTAGTGATGTTGGTTACAACTGGACCAATAGCGGAGGATGCCCACACCTTTGGAAGACAAATCTTGAGTTCAGTATTAGATATACAAGAGTCTAAACTTTCCCCATAGCTATACATACGTATCTACCCAGATTAACTAATCAAATAATGGAACTATTTATCTGTGTAATGAAAATAAAAGTAATTTAGCTTATGTTCTCAGAGCTACCCACATAAATTGTTATAGTTCCATGCTTCAGGTATGTATTGAGCAGTGTGTCTAAAGTATTGCATAAAGAAAATTGTATTCACTAGTTTCACCTGGAAGCCTTGCTTTTTTATTAAGACATTCTTTCCATGTGCCACTGCATACAACCCAGAATACTATGTGTTTTTAATATTCATGACCTGCTTTCTGAAAAGGTGCTATGGAGTAATTTAATAGGGTAGTGTTTGCCATTTTGACACTGGAGCCTGATTATGTTGTCTTAAAATGTACGTACTGAAAACAACCTGACATATTTCAAGTTATTCTTCAAAAAATTCCTTCATAATCATTCATCTTGGTGAAGACAAAATAGAAATAATTGTTTCCAGAGTAATTGGAAAGCCAACAGGTTTGCTTTGTGGCATTCCTTCATATCCATGTGTCAGAATTCTCACTACTTCACATTTTTTAATACTGTCTGTAGACTTCAGTGCCTTTCAACCTTCTATGCTGTTGGACTATTGGAACACTTGCATGTCTTCATTCTTCCTGTAAGAGTCCAAGTAGCTACTTCAAATCCATTATTTTTGAGATAAGGGAAAAAAAATTGTTTGGAGAAGAGTGCGTTATAGGAGGCAAATCAGGCTTTTCCCCTCTTCAATTTCCTCTTGGACTTTGTCGCTGGAAGTGGCGATTTCGGCTTGGGCAGAGAAGACTGCACAGATGAAGGTCAGGACTGTGCCACCAATAGCCGTGTAGAAAGCCCAGCCTAAAGAACAGTCACCAAGTTTATAAGCTGAAGCATAAGGTCCACAATAGCTTGTTGCCTTCTGACAACCCCAACCAGCAGGGTATAAGATCAACCCTAGGATAAGGAATAGTCCTATTTAAAAGAAAGAAAAAGAATAGTCAGACAAAAGTGCAATAAAATTAGGCATAAAACTAATTTTCATAGGAATGTACATTCTGATATAAGCTGAAATTTCTGATGGCTGCTGCTGAATGTTATGACGGCCGGTAATTTATAAACTGGTGGACCATATTTTTGTCTACACTGTTAATTGCTAAATTCATGGTGATGAATGTGAAACAAGGGGAAAGGTGTTGCAACAATGAAGGCTGAATTCAGAACTTAGGAATTTAGGAAAGAAAGCATCATCAGTTTTAAAAGCTCATTCAGATATAGAAAGCTCATTGTCAGTGCTATATTTTTATTGACATCTATGGCCATCTAGATTTTTGCTACCTAAAATGCTAACCCTCACTAAAGTTATTTCATTCTGGGAGAAATGGTCCGTTGAGGTCCTCTCTTCATTTGTTCCATGTGAAATTAATAGTGCTATGCATGCATCAAGGATGATTCACCAATAGTTGGGACTTCATGCATGTGCAGGCCTTGCCTGCTATGCATTAAAGCAGCCCAACTTCTTTCAGTCCTGTGTGACCCAGAAAAGATGCTGCTGCTTTAAGGACCACAAAACCTTTAATGAATGGACTCCTTAACTCAGTGGCATTTCTTTATGTGTAATCTGAAGCAATTCTTCCAGGACATTCTCAAAGTATCCACAGTTCTACAAACTAATTCAAAATCCACAGCGTGGGTTGTAATACTGTGCCAACTACAGTATTAAATGTACATTTGCTTTCTAAAAGTCTGACATTTTCATCAAGTTCAAATCTACTAAGAACTTAAACCAAGAACTAATTTCTCATTAAAAAAAAAAACTTCATATGTTCTTCCAGTTATTGGTATATACTATAGCTTCAGCCACTGAAGAGAATAAGACAAAACATTTAAAAGCCGTGGATTATTTATAATTTTTTGTGTTATTGCTTACTGGAATCCATATGAGTATGACTCTTATCTTGACTGTAGCACTTTCTCTATGGAATTTGGGAGTTGGGTAGCATTTCCTGTCAGAATGCCTGAGCCAATGGACATATAAAATATTGCTCAAGGTCAGGCAGGCAGGGATAAATTGAGCTTTCATCCTACTGAGCCCACCAACTCTGGCAGACTAAACACCCAAATCCCCTTCTTGATATAATCACAAGTTCTTTTGTCAACGAGACCTGCGGCATAATTCTTTTGACTGGAGCTTCTACTGTTTCTACAAGCCACAGTTTGAAAATTATTGTATTTTGTCCAAAGTGTCCAAATTAAATTTTAGACATTTCCTTTAAAAATAAATGTAGTTTGCGCAAATATGGTTTCATATATTGCAAAAAAAGCATAATGAAATTTCTATAGCAGAGAGCTTGACTTTATACTGATTTTTATTGTCATGGCTTTCCTGAAAGGATTGGTTGCTGGAACTGAATTTTGTTGTCAAACACACCCCCCCCCCATTTTTCTGTACAGATGAAACAATTATTAACCCTGCATTGGTTCTGGCCTATTGCTGAGTTGCTTGTGGTGCCTGGCCGCACTGGATCTCTGCAATATAGGATTTATTAGTTGTGAGAATAGCAAACAGTCATTTATGACTACGCTTACTTGTGCTCCAGAAGAAATCAAGATATGTTTTTAAAGGGAAATAAGAGATGCATGACNTGCAGGAAAACAAACCAAGATTGGCCATTTCTACAAAACACTTTAACTGTTACAGTTAATCAACCATTGGGTTATAGAAATTGCTCATTAGCATATATGCCATTGCAAAAGGCAAATAAATGAACTATAGTCCATAAAAGCTTGTGCAGTAATAAAACTTAACTATTAAAGTGCCATTAGTCTGTTCTTCCTATAAGCAATTAGTGTTTCCCCTGGAAACAAGAATTGCTGATCTGTTTACGGTTGAGAGTAAACAGTGCAAATCAGTAATGGCAGATGAATTTCCTTGGCATTGCTTGTTGTATAATTTGTAACTACCAAATTATACATGGCCAAGGCAATGAAAAACATGCTCCATTTTGTGATGTTCAATTCATTTTTTTAAAGCAAGTATTTACAGCTTGCAAAATGACATTAAAAATGTAAAATGTAATTTTCAATAGAGTACATTAATAAAAAGATGTTCCTAAGCTGTGTCATAATACTGTAAGTTTCTTTCAAGCTTTCTAGAATAGTTCTAAATAATAGCTTGTTTCATTTTCACTGTTCAATGAAAACTTTTTAAAGTGCTTTTTTAGAATAAATGTATTTCATGTGTCAAGTTCCTCTGATTATCAAAATGCAATGGAAATTATTTAATTATTGCACTTACTGGTTTCTCTTCCATATAATAATTGACCATAAACTTCCTGCATTGATGCAGAGTTTGCATTTCACTGGAAATCATAGAAAACCTGACCTAAGAAGTAAAAATATTTTAGGAAGCAGGGGTCCAAGGGTGTATAAGATTATGTCATGGTAGTATCTTACCTTCATTTGAATACTGCATAATAAAAGGAATAATAACGTATATTTGTTGGCCATGTGTACATAATTTATGAAGAGAAAGTTTAGAGAACTGGTAAAGTCATTCTACAATCTTTCTTTTGTCTTTTCTAGCATGTAACATTTGAAAAGAGGTGAATCTGTTATAGTTATTTACCCAATTTTTTGATAAGACAGTTGTAACATTTTATGAAATTTATGCTGTCCAGTTGTTTCATGGGTTGCATTTGCCCACAAAACCAACCTTCTAAAAAATTCTGGCTTAGCATGACCAAGTAGCACAGCAGTGATCCTCCTGATGATATGCTGGAGATGGTGTTGTGCGCCAGCTGTCAGAGAAAGAAAGTGACTGAAGAAAGAATTGCCTGATTGTTGTCTTCAAATGGCTCCTTGTTTGGAAGAAAGAAATCTAGTGGCCTGGTTAGCTCATCACATATCATGAAAGAACCTTTTGTGGACAAAATCTGGCACAGTGGAAATACAACCCTTTCTTTTTGTACTCAGAAACTAATGAAATTTTAATCCCCCCCCTTTTTTTTTTACAGATTTCCCGGTTTAGGCACCTTTCAAAACATTGAATTACTACCGTACTAATGTAACAAAATCAGAAATAAATTGACACCCAACATTCAGGGGTTAATTATGGTTTATTAGACAAAGAATTACTAATATTGTAGAAAATTAAATTAGCAATGCAGCCCAACAGCACACTGTAGCTCATCAAATGACTTTTTACTGTTCTCTCTTTAATGTTGATCAATGCATGAGTTTCTAAATATGTGAATACTTTTCACATTGAGACAGAATGCTATAAATGAGTAAGCTTGGAATAACCAGATTTCAAAAGATTTGGAAATCTCTTATTACAATACAGTAAAGTTTTGATTCAACAGACCTGAGTGCAATAGACTTCAGATGCTATGGATAACATTCCCATTATATACTTATGTTGCTTTTATATCATTTGCTTAATAAGGTTACACAAATGATGTACTATAATGTAAAGTATGTGCAATTTATATCTCTGCATAATGTCACCACAGATTATATACTCTGATTTAATGGACAATTAGGAATAACAGACATCCCTTTCCCCCAATTGGACTGTTAAATCAAAGTTTCACTGTATTTTCAACATTCTTTTTTTTCTCCACAGAAAGATTTTATAGCGATGGTTAAATAATATTGCAGTAACTTCCCTATTCCACAAGGATATGCCATTCTGGACTCTTTCAAATCGGTTTTAAAGTCCTTACTGCATATTATACATGTTATAATTTGAATTTATTATTATTTGAAAATTGCAACAGAAGATAACACAATAAATGTTATAAAATGATTCATCCACAGTGTTTTATTTTGAGCTGCCTGAACACAGGTTTAATCACCAACCATTTCTTGATTTAAAGTAATATGTATTAAAAAGAGGTCATGTGTGCCATTGTGGGAAGTTAATATAGTATTCTGTAAAATATATTTAATTAAAAAAAATAAAGAAGAGACACCGAAAAGATTTCTTAAACCACACGTTTTTGCTAGTTGGGAATATAGTGGCCTAATTATTTAAATACAGAAGGTATGTGGGATATTGCATACAAACTTAAAGTTGTGATACTGAATATTCAACTGATTAAATTGTGCCATATATTTCCCAGAAATATCACTCCCAATTTACTGACTAGGCAGTAATACAAAAACATTATTACTACATCTATCAGAAATATTGTACAATACCATACTGTAGATCTTGCACATGCTATATCAGTTATTGTAAGAGCTACTGTATCTGGACTATAAAAATCTGGAAGGTCATGGAAATAGCAAATTTTCTGCATCTATCATCTGTGGTTGTCTTTATCGCTCCAACCTGATAGCCCTACTTGTTCCAATGTTTATGAATAAGATTTCATTGCCTGACGTTTCAATCAAAACTAAGAGTTATCAAACACAGTGCATATAGCCCCACACAAAAATTATTTTGAGGGTGTTTCTGAGGCAGTTATGGTAACTGCATCAGATGGAGATGGTGATGTAGTTAAAATGTTAAGTACTGTAAAGCAATGCCACAATTAGGAAACAAACCAAGTATATATGCTAAGATTTACTAGTCTGCATGCATCCCTGTTTACTCTGTTTTCAACCTTGTTTATAAAGTAAACAAGCTGTTATACTCCACTTTGCTATGAATTACAAGTGCTAGCATCCTTCTCAAAAAGGAGATCAATGCTAAGAACTGTAATTCTCCAACATTAAGAGGCAGAACTTTTGCAGAGGAAATTTCATTAAGGTTATAATAACCATAATTTGCTAAGTGTTCAGAAAAAAAAAGAATCAAGTTAATGCATTGGAATTAGAAAAATAAAAGTGAATTTTCCTTTCTTACCTCCCTCCCCACTGCCCACCTGTCTTCTTGCTTGCTTCTACCTGGTTTCCCTTCCTTTTTATTCCTGCCTCATAACACCAGGGACCCTGAGACTCAGAAGCTTCAGGGAGGCTGATGATTA